ACGGCGGCGCCGCCTCCCGCGGCCGTGCCGGGGCGAAGCCGTTCAGGAGCTGGTTGAACTCCTCGTCCGTCTGCAAGGGAAGAGCGCGGGGGGACGCGCGTGAGCGGCGCCCGGGCGCAGCTCCCGGGGTGCGACGGGGGCTCCGCGGGTACCAGGTCTCCGTAGTGGTTCATGCCCAGGCGGAACGCGTGCCGGCCCCGCGCCTGCTCCCGGTTGTGCTCCTCGATGCGCCGCAGGTTCTTCTCCCACACTTCCCGGCGGGCAGCCTCGGCGTCCTGCCGGGAACGAGCTCAGATGCTCCCCAGGCTACTGGATCCCGAAATCCCTGCGGAGGCGGCTTCTCCGCGGAGCCAGGATTCCTACCTGCGGGTACTCCTTGGCGTGGAGGCTCTTCCAGCCCCTCCAGGCCTCCTCGAGGGCCGGGTCCCGTGCGGCAGCGCAGCCCAGCACTTGCAGCAGCAGCCCCAGGGCCACGGCCATTTTCCTTTTTCCCTTTTCCAGGCCTTTTTTTTCCAAGCCTGGATTAAAAGCGAGGGCAAAAACACAAAGAAAAGCAGCCCGAGATGGAGGGAGGCAGGAGTCGGGACGGTTCGCCCAGCTGTGCTGGCTTTTGCCTGGACCTGCTCCCGTTTTGACAGGAGCTTTGGGAGGTCTGAGCTGTCCTTCCAGGGGTATTTAAGCGTCCTTTTGGGAAGGGGTAGGAGCAGCGTTGAGTGGGAGCCTCATCCTGCAGCCGAGCGCCTGGCTTGGGCACCTCCGAGCTGGGAGAAGGGCCAGGGCGCAAGCGCCCATAGAGCCAGGCGACGGCAGCGGCGCATCCATCCCATCCCGACTCCATGGGGATGTTCCAGTATCATTTTACATGAGGCTTTTCCCAGCCGTCTTGGCTGCAGAGAGGGACCAAGTGCCTAAGAGGCGCCTGGGCACCGTCGGGGTGCAGGTGCCTTCCTGAGCTCCGCTTACAGCTTGAGGGATGCTTCTTTCTTAATAAATAAGTTATTGCAAACAGGCGTCCTCCTCCCGGCCCCCAGCTAAAATAAAGCCCCAGGGGGATGCGAAAGGCCTCGCAGCGGCTCTCAGGCTCCGTCCCCTCCTTGAGGATGGGGAATTCTGAGCCGGCCGCCCCGGCATCCGTTCCGGGGCCCTCGGCGTCCTGCGCCCGCAGGGGCAGGAAACCCGCTCGGAGCTGCGGCCCCGGCCCCGCGCGAGGGAGACCTGGAGCCTCTGGCACGGGCAGGACGTGGGAGAGCTCCCTGCAGCATCCCCATGGCCATTCCAGGCTGGAATGTGGCCACAACCGCGCGTGCAGCGGCGATTTCCCAGCTAACGCCTCTCAGGGTCTCAATACCCAAAGAAGAGAAAGAGCTTTGTTTTTTTTATGGCATCAAATAGCCCTCTGGCTCCAGCAGCGAGCTCGGCGGATCAAAGGAGCTGGCAGATCTGTAAACTCCTCCAGACAAGGACCTTTAAGTGCGCGTTGCAGGCACGTTAAGGTTGCAGGCACGTTAAGGTTGCAGGCACGTTAAGGTTGCTTGCTCTTTCGGGACAGGAAAAAAGCAGCCAAGATTAAGAGCGAAAAAGAAAGAAATCCTGCAAAATGAGGCTCTTACCGCGCAGCAGCAGCCGCCCGGCTCGAGGGCGCAGCGGGACGGGGCGGCAGCTCTCGCGCCTGCAAACGGCGCCCGAGGAAACCTCGGAGCTCCGCGGCTTCCTCCAGGGCCCCTTCCGCCCCCGGCCTCCCCGCTGCACCCCGGGTTGCTCAACGGCGCGGGCGGCCGGGGCTGCAACACGGCTGCAACGGGGACGCTCACGGCCACCAAGGAGAACGTTCCAGCTCCGAATGGCACTTGGCGGGGCCGGGATCACGATCCAGGAATCCCGGCTCTTCTGCCCTGAGGAACGTGGGGCTTCAGCATCCCCTCGGTTTGCCCCACGCGCAGCTTCGCCCTCCCCTGCGCTGCAGCAACGGACACAGGCGCAGCCGCTGCTCTCTCTTTCCAATATTTTAATGAGTCGCTACATCTTACACTCATAATTATAAAAGAATAAGAATCCATAAAAATATTTTCTTTTCATAATACGCACTTAAAATACTCCAGGGCAAGTTGACGTGGTTCATTAGGGTGGGTTTGTTTTTCTTTTTGCCCCGGCAGAACCCTTGGCTTGAGGGGGTTTGTGCTCCCCTGAGGTGCGATTGCTCAATCCCCCCTCTCCAGAACTGCAGTTCCTGTGGACCAGGGAAATAAAAACCAGACCGGAGCATTTGCTGAGTCGATGGGCAGTCGACTGACCCGCAGAGAACTGAAGCACAGCCAATTTCAGTGCATGTCTGAAAGCTCGGGATGCCAGGGAAGGAGGTGGGATCAGGAGGCGGCACGGAGAACGGCGGGAGGGAGAATCTGCATAAATATCATCCATTTTGTGTTGCAAAAACCCAAATGCTGCTGCGATCTCTCGAGACGGTCTCCGGCTGTAGCCAGCGGCTCCGGCTGCCCTGCTACCTGTTGGCACAACTCTGCTTGTGAGCGGCCATTAGAGGAAGGGCTCAGGGGGCACTGTTACGGACCCCAGCCCCTTCCTCCATCTGCTCTGCAAAATTAAAACAAAAACCAGAAAGGACTAGTGTTGCATGCTCCTGTAGAGCTCTCTTCATGTCCCGGGGCTCCACATTTGTCACGGCGGGGCCAGGACACAACAGCAGCAGCGATCAGCTCCCTTGGGACTCAACCTCAGGTAGTTCTCTCTTCCCTCCCACTCCTGGCTTAAGGCAGCTGGTTGCTTCAGCTCTTCCGTTTCCAACATAGGCACTGAGTTCTTGCAGGTGGGAGCAGGGGAACCGCAGAGGAAGGGGCAAGGCCAGGGCAGAGAGATTGACACAAACCTCAGCCTCAGGAGACAGACCGCTGTCCATTGATTCCCAGGAGAGAGGGAGTAGCAGCAAAACAAGCGATAACAGCCAGGCCGGAGGAGAGGAAGAGGAGGGCGGCCGAGCAGGGGCAGCCCCCCAGCTCGGGAAGTGAAAGAAGGTGGCACTGTCCAAAGGGGGGCAACCCCGCGGCCTCGCTCGGGGCCTGGCCCTTGTGCTCTGGGCGCGCTGGCCGCGCGGGGAGGCGCTGGCGGCGGGACGGGGCCG